TATCAATGGGATAAATGCTGGATTTTTTTTTTTCTATCAATGGGATAAATGCTGGATTTTTTTTTTTTTTTCTATCAATGAGATGTTGCCCTTCAGTGCCATTCCCACACCATTCCAGTTGTGCAGGAGCAGTCAGGGATTGCTGGGAGGGACAAGTGGGATTTGCTTGTTCAGTGCTTGGTTACTGATTTCCTTGGGCTTGCATCACAACCTTTGGCACTTACATGAAAAAAAAATCTGATTTTTCCAGCCCTGGATCCCCATTGGGAGCAGTGGTGGCACAGGCTCCTGCCAGGAGCTGTTTCTCCAGGGAAATCATCCCTTAGGCACTCCCTCAATGGGAATTTTTTTTCCTTTTACTCTCCTTCCTCCACATGAATTCCAACCAGATTTATCCCTGCTAAACAATTCCTTTTTCCTGGAATTCATTCCAAATATTTGCTGTAGGTTTCTGACCTGCTTTGGAATTATTCCCAGAGGTTTTGGGTAGCCAGCTCCTCAGACAATTAGGGAATTTTTGGTTTGTTTGCTCTTTTTCATGTTACTCTTCTCCTTAACCTTTTTTTTTTTTTTTTTTTTTTTTGAGCTCATCAGGCATTGGGAAAGGTTGGAAAAATGTCCCCAGGAAAGGGATGAGAGTTAAGGCAGGAGGATGGATTTGTGCTCTGATGTGGAGTCACTTAATTAGTGTTGATTTACTGACTTCCCTGGGTATTATTTGGATTTTGCTTTTTTAAACTGGGATTTCTCCATCCAGAGGAGTTTGAGCCCTGGGAAATGAGAAGATGCACAGTGGACACAGCCACAGCTCACTTCCCATTTCCAATTTCCACCTGCTTTTAAATTAGAGGTTTGATTATTCTCACTAAAAATTGATATCCCTCATCCTTTCTGCAAGCTGAACGTGGAATTTCTATTTTCAGGTCGCAGCTTTTGCTGGGGATGTTGAGGGCTGGGTTTGTCTTTATCAAAAATTGATAAATCCCCAAAACTGATCATCACCAGAAGTTTCCTGTTTTTTGTTTTTTGTTTTTTCCAGATGTTTTAAGGCAGAAAAGTCCTGAAAGGTAAATTTTACCCCAGCAGTGTCAGGGATGAGCAGGAGGAGTGGAACCTGTGCAGGTTTAGCACACATCAAACATTTCCCATGTGAAATTCCACCATGATTAACAATTGGGGGAGGCAGAATTCCAACTCCTGGGATAAAAGTTTCCCAGTGCTGCCAAGATCCAAGTGCTCTGCTCCACAATATTCCCAGTTGGAATATTGCTCCAGCAGAAATTTGGACTCTCTTTATAAATTTCATGTTTCTCAAATTTTTTCCTCGGTGTTCTCAAGTTTTCACTTTAATGTTGTTTCCTCTGTAAAGAATGTTTGCCATTCGTGCCAAATAGCAGGAATATTTAAAATATTCCTGTGTGTGTTCCTGACTCGACTTTAAAAATTCATTCTAAAGCTGAATTCAAGTGCTTGTTCCAATCTATTTATTAATTGAGAAGCTGAATCTGCCTTGAAATGGAAGATTTGGAAATCCAGCCCTGGCTCTCCTGGCATTTCTGGAGCTGCTCATCTCACTCAGCAATTGTTTCCTGGAGCTGTGAGTGACAAGGGATTTTTACACAAAAGCCACCAAATTTAAAGTTGTGAGGCTGGTTTAGTGTAATTTTATTTTAATAACTGTTTATGAAAGGAGCAGTGATGGAATGCAGTGGATGAAAATCCACGGTGAGGATGTGGCACATCTGCATAAATCACACATTAAAAATGGAATGAGCCAATCCCATTTTTTCCTTGCAGTGTTAGAAGCTGTTTTGAATCCCAGGGGTGTGGCTGGTGTCCTGTGGAATATCATCCTTTTCTGAGCTGGGGTTCCAGTGTCTCCCCACACACTTTTGGACACATCTAAAATTCACTGCTTGTTAAGGAATTTTAGGGAATTCCTCTCCTGCTTTTACATTTAGTGAGCTCCTTCAGCAGCTGGCATTAGAAATAATTCTCTTTTTCCTTTTACTCTCTTTGAATTCTTCTCCTTCTGTGTTAGACTTAAGACCACGAGGAAAGTACAAGGGTTTATTTTGCTCGACATCACTCTTGGTAATATTTCCAACACCAACCATTCCACCATTTTTGAAGTTCCCTCAGGGTCTTGCTGAATTTTTTTCACTTAATGGTCCCCTAAATCAATACTGGCCTGGGGTAGCTGCTTGTTCTCACACATTGCTCCTGGCTTGTTTGAGGCTCTAATTGTGCTTTTCAGCTCCAATCCTCTCTTTTCTCCACGTGCTGGCCTCAGCCACCACTTGGGGAGATGTTTTCTGGGGCCAAGGCTGTCACCTTTATTCCAGAATGCTCCTTTCCCTCCTTGGTTAGGGTTGATTGATTGATTGATTGATTGATTGATTGATTGATGAAAAGGTGCCTGTGCTGAGCTCTCTGATGGGTAAATGATGCCCGTGGAATAATTAATACCTGGGGCAAGGGCAAAGGGGAGGATTCCTCCAGAGCCACTGCCTGGGCTGCTCCCAGGGGGAAATTGCTGAGGAAAAGGAAAATTTGAGTCTTGCCTCCCTTAAACCAACAAGACACATCCATAACTCCGTGGGAGGAGTGGGAAAAGGTGTTTGGAATTCCTCAGAGCAGCAGGATCAGGTGTGGAGCTCTGTGTTTAGTGATGTTTGTACAGATGTTTTTGCTTCCTTTCTCCTCCTCTGGAGCCTCCTTGGTGTTCGGTTTTTTTTATGGAATTCCCATGGGTGTGGTGGTGCTGGACAGGAATATCCCAGTGGAACTGGCTCCAGTCACTGGTGGTTGTGTGGCCAACAAGAAGGGATCCAGGGATTTGAGAGCTCCAGGGGGGTTTTGGTTGAATATCTGAAGTGGATGAGTGCTGTGGGAACAGGAATTTGTATTTTGGGGTACCAGAGCCCTCCTGGTGCCTGAGGGCCACAAAGACCTGGGCTGTTCATGTGCACAGGTGTTGTTTGACACCAAATACTTCTCCTCCCCTGCCTGTCCTGCCACATTTTGCCAAGCTCAACTAATCCTGGTGGAGTTTTTTTTTAAATTTACAGTTGTCATGGAATGGAGGAGCCACAAATCCAAGTAAAGCTTGTCTGGAACTGAAGCTGGGCAAGTTGGTTCTGGATAAAAAGCAGATCCTTCCTTTCCTCCTGTTACATACTCCAAGTGCCAGAACAGATTGCAGTGATCAGTTCGTGGCAAGAAAAAGAAATAGGAAGATGATTTATGTTAAATTTCAAGATATTTCTTGCTGCCACCAGGATTAGTGGTCAGGTCTGGTGGTGGGATCCATATTGCAGCTATAATAATAAATTCTGCCCAGTAATTCTGGGTTTTATGCAAACAGCAAAAAATCTGAACTAAAAATATTACATCTCTGTTCAAGCAAAATCTGGGTCTTCATTTGAATTGCATTTTAATGCAGCATCTCCCCTATTGGGAGGAGCAGTCTGTAGAATTTGGAGTGGGAATGGAATTGTTCTGTCATTGTCATGGCTGTGGATGAGGGTGGTGAGGCCCTGCAGTGTCACCAGTTGGGACATGGATGACAAAGAGCTCTGCCTAATTAAAATCATGGAATCATGGAATGGTTTGGGTTGGGAGATTAAATCCCACCCAGTGCCACCCCTGCCATGGCAGGGACACCTCCCACTGTCCCAGGGAGCTCCAACCTGGCCTTGGGCACTGCCAGGGATCCAGGGGCAGCCACAGCTTCTCTTGTCTTTCTTTTCCCATTTAAAATTCCCCGTGGCAGATATTTAAAATCTTGAGGAAGAATCTCCTAAGCTGCAAAACGCCACCAAAAATTCCCGTCAGGTTTTGTTTTTAGTGCAGAGCAGAAACTTCCCAAACTTCTCCTGACACTTCCAGAAACATTCCACTCGTGAACTCGGTGCCAAAGTTGGGGTGGCTTCACATGTAGGGGGTGACAAACACGATGGGCACAGGGATGTGTTCACTGGCACCCTTTAGGATATGGGGGCAGGGCCAGCAGATGTGCAGCAATTCCTACAGGAGAGGCAAAATCACCCCAGAGGAGAGAAAAGGGGAAAAACTCTCCCTGTTAATCCTGTTAAACCCAGTTCTGGAATTAATCCTGTTAAACCCAGTTCTGGAATTAATCCTGTTAAACCCAGTTCTGGAGCATTTTGGGGTGTTTGTGTGGAATGGGGTCACCCAGGAGCCAGGTGGGATTTGGGGTTGGAGGGTTGGGATTTTTGGGGTCAGAGGATTGAGATTTGAGGTCAGAGAGTTGGGATGTGGGGTTGGACAGTGTGAGGTTGAAGAGTTGGGATTTTTGGTGTTGGAGGCTTGGGATTTGGGGTCAGAGGGCTGGGATTTGGGCTTGGAGAGTTGGGATTTTTGGGGTTGCAGAGTTGGGATTTGGGGTCTGAGGGCTGGGATTTGGGCTTGGAGGGTTGGGATTTTTGGGGTTGCAGAGTTGGGATTTGGGGTGGTACAGTTGGGATTTGGGGTGGGAGGGCTGGGATCTGAGCTGGGTGTGGGTTGGTGACGGTGTCACAGCCGCCTCGTGGGGACAGAGTTTGGGGACAGTTCTGGAGGTTTCCCTGATGATTCCTCCCTCAATTGATTCCAGTCTGGAAACTTCCCTGGCTGGGTGGGGCAGGAGCTCTCTGGGGGTGGCAGTGTCACACCTGGGGGTGGCAATGTCACACCTGGGGATGGCAGTGTCACACCTGGGGGTGGCAATGTCACACCTGAGAATGTAATGTCACACGTGGGGGTGGCAGTGTCACACCTGGGGATGGCAGTGTCACACCTGAGAGTGCAGTGTCACACCTGAGGGTGTCAGTGTCACACCTGAGAGTGCAGTGTCACACCTGGGGGTGGCAGTGTCACACCTGGGCAGTGTCACACCTGGGCAGTGTCACACCTGAGAGTGCAGTGTCACACCTGGGGGTGGCAGTGTCACACCTGCCGTGTCCAGGCAGGTTGAGCTGATCCCTCCTCTCTTGCAGACTCCTGCTGAACAGGCCAAGGCCAGGCTGCAGCTGGTTCTGGAGGCAGCTGGTGAGTAAACGAGAATCCTCCAAAATTCTCTTCATTTTTGTGCTGTCGGGTGGGATTTTGTCCCTTTGTGCTCGGCTGGTGCTGATCCCATTCTCCAGAATTTCCTCACCTAAATTTCAGGTGAAGATTAAATTGGTTTGCATCATTGTTGGTGTTTAGTAAAGCCCTTTAATGAAATAAAAATAAGACTTTTTTTACACTAAAACTTCTTGTTTATCCTCTGGCTCTTGCTTTCTGCTCTTTATTCTGTGCTTTCAAAAATTTGGGTTTGTTTTTTTTTTCAATTTTCTTTTTTTTTTTTTTTAGCATTGCTCTAAATCAGTACAAGCATTTATTTATTTCCCCCCCTTTTGCAAACCTTCCTTTTGAGGAACCTCCTCACATTGCTGATGCACCTTTTTTTTTTTTTTTTTCCCCAAAATCCATCCAGCCTTTCGCATTGTCTCTCTTCCAATACATTCCTTGTTCTCCAGAACTTTTAATAAATCTTTGAAGCATGTAATTATGAAATGGATGTGACAGCCCTGACCTCAAAAGCACAATTTGTGTATTCTGCTGCCATCAATCACAGCTCATTTTTTAATTTCACACCTGGGAGATGTACAAAAGATAACTGGGGGTTGTAGATCATCGTGACCTGGGCTCCAAAATTTTCCAAAGCTTATCCAAGGTCTGTGACATTGTTAAATTTAAATATCCACCATTGAGGGCTGGATCTTAGATTGAAGCTGCAAGTTGTTCATAAAGAGCAGAAGAGATTTAATCTCTTGGTGTCTCTTACAATCCAAAATACAGAATTAAGTTCCTTCCTGGCTTTATTTAAGTCTTGGTCATGCCAGACATTTATGAGATCATCTCCCACCTTCTTCCCCAAGTGCATTCAGTCAATTATATTGAACTTTTATTTAACTGCTGTGAGAAGAGGCTGGAAATGTTGTTTCAAGATATTTTTGTGTGTTTACTCCTTGAAAAATGAGCACCTTTTAGTCTTTAAACTTAGAAATAAATGGATACTGAGCCATTGGCCAGCAGCTGGAGGAGCAGCAGGTTCATTGCTGTTGGGATGTTGTGTTTGGATATCATTGAAATGAACTCTGCTCTCCAGTCGTGGTGAGTGGAGCTGTTGTGGGGCTCTGTGCAGGCCCCATCCCAAACTTGGGAAGGAGCTCATGGAATATCTGAATATTTTATGGGGATTTTTCCAGTCCCACTGAGTGGGGACCAGCAGCTGTGCTGTGTTCCCAGTGGATTTTCCATCATCTGCTGTTGAACTGTGGTCTGGACAAACAAATGGGCTCCAAATCACCAGCAAGGGTTGGGGGGACATTGGGGACAGTCCCTTCCTGCCTCATCCCTGCTGGCATCATGAAATCATGGAATGGTTTGGGTTGGAAGGACCTTCAATCTCACCCTGTCAGCTCCCACTGTCCCAGCTGCTCCAAACCCAAATGGCTGCCAGGGACCCAGGGGCAGCCACAGCTGCTCTTGAATTCCTTGTCTGTATTTCCCCATCGAAATTTCCCTTGTGGAGATATTTAGGATCTTGAGAAAATCTGCTTTTAGAATTTAACCTAGATACTACTTTAGGAAATAGCAAGTGCTTTCTCTGAAAGGCAGAAATCAAGTAATAAAACAGGCTCTTATTACTGAGATTTTTTTTTTTTCTGGTATATTTGGAGATGGGAATTGTGACTCTGGTCTCTCATTAGGAGAGCAGGTAAAATAAAAAATATTCACCTGTGTCTGTGGGACAGGAGGGTAAGATGGCCATTTTTATATTTAGGTAATAGAATGCTGAGGAGCTTTTTCTCCACGTCCTACATTCATGCTGACTTTGTTAAATAATTTTTTTTTCTTTTAAAGTGTAGATTAATGCCAGTATTTTATTCTCATTAAGCAGGGCAATATTGGGAGGTACCGAAACACTTCAATTCTCGGGACAACCGAGTTTTGATTTATAAAACCCATCATTCCTCAGGAGCTGTCGGTCCCAGCTACAAATTCATATTTTCACCATTTATTGAATCAGATTTCTTAATCTTGAGGTGCCAGGGAGCCTCTTTAGGCTGCTCTGAGAGCCTCCCCCAAGTCGCCGTGCCCGAGCAGATGTTAAGCAGGCAATGGCTGAATGTTAATTTGGGCAGGGTGGGATGTTTAAGCCTGACTGAAGCATGTTCCATGTGGGCCTTGCAGACTGAGCCACAATGCTTTGTCCCTTGGGAGAATTTCCAAGCTAAACCTCTTTCTTCTCCTCGCTCTATATGGACTCTCTCAAGTCAGTATAAAGCAGATCATCCCTGGGCTAAAGCTCTCCAGCTTTTGTTAGCGGGCTCTGTAGGGCTGTAATTAGGCCTCCTGGCAGGCCCTGCCGGCCAGTTCATGGTCATATGGAGTTTTTCTGAGGCAGACTGGCTTTGTGTAAATCCTTGCTCACCATCTCCTTCTGGGTCACTTCCTACCAGGCCGGCCTTTTGTGCCTGTGCCCCACGGGCGGCCGGGGAGCAGCGTCCCCTGACCAGCGCTGGCTCCGGGAGCGCCGCACAATCCACGCCGATAATCCCCAGTGTCAACAGAGGATTTAGCTCAGCTTCTGCCACTTACAGTTGCCAAACCACTTGGGTGTCTGTGATTCCTTTCCCAGACTTCATTACCCAGGCACGGAGGAGACCCGAGCCGGGCGTTTGTGTCGAGTGCGGCTCCCGGCGCTCGTTTCTTTAGGGCAGGAGTTTGCGCCGTTTCAAACCTTAAATCCCGAGCTTAGGGCAAACCTCAGAAACTGAAAGCTGCTTGTGAATGACATAGCACCTGTGCTTTCTCTCCTAAAGAATAAAATATGGATGAATATTCCCAAAATGTCAATAAATTCCTATGAAACAGAGCAGGGATGTTTCAAACCGTCGATAGCGCTGCCTCCTGCAAAGGGCTCCGGGAGCTTTTCCGTGGTGCTAAGCAGAAATTTCTGACTCTCCACATAAAGACGGTGACAAAAGGCAATTGATCTGGATTTTCAAAGGTCCACAGTTGAAATAAGTGACTGATGTATTTTTGGGATCTGCATTTCAATCTCTGGCTGAAAGAGCAGTCAAGAATGGGGAGTTTTGTGCCAGGAATTCGCCGGAGTTTATTTAAAGGAAACTTCAGGACCGAGGCACTGAATGTGAGGGGATGGAAATGGGGGAGTGCAAACCCCAAACATTTACCATTTATCAGACCCCATTCTGGATATTGGGTGTTTAACTCATTACCTTTGAATTTTGCTATCAGGTCGCTGCCTTTAATTTTGCACCCTGCATCTTTACTGCATTTTACATATTCCTGCATTTTACATCTTCCTCAAAGAGAAAATCACGGAATACAACAAATGCTTCAGCCTTAAGTGTGGTAAATACAAATATTTTATAATTCTGACTGCTTTTATTTTTTTTTTTTTCAATCTACCCATTCTCCCAGGAGTTACTGAGGAGAAAAAAAAAAAAAAAAGCCTGATTTGCACTCAGGGCCTGATAAATATAGGCAAATATTCTCTGCTCTTGGGTATCAAAATGGCTCATAACAGATGTGGTGAAAGGACCACATACGTAGACTGTATGATTTTAGTCTGGTGGAACTAATAGGATCACTTGCTACTTTATAGATCCTTGCTTTTCTTTTACTTTAATAAAAACTGTTTAGTTAAATAGGTTGGCCTCTGTTTTGCTCTTTTCTAGCTATGCAAAGCAGCCGGGCGGGCAGGTGGCAACAAGTATGAAAAATTTCCTTTTATTGGGGCTTCTTTTCAACTGCCAAATTTATCAAATGTTGATGGATTTCTGGTTTTGATGATGGTTTTTCTTTCAGTTTTCTTATTTGTGTGCTTTCCACTGAGAACTCGCTGGCTTTAATTTGAATTTCTAATGATGCAATGAATTTTAGAGGGGTGGATAACATGTGCTGTTATATGTGCACAAAGGATGAAATAATACTTAAAATATTTTGCTTGTTTCGTGGAAATTTAAAGCAGGCGTCAAAAATAATTCTTGCCCTAGAAATTGCAAGAATTTGAACTTTTAACAAGCTTGAGAGTTCTGAATATTGAAAAAAAAGATAAATTTAGTTGCTAGGTAGGTTTGATTTAATATGAAATTTGAATTTGTATCTACTTCAAATAATTGTTTTGAATG